CATAACTAAGTCCTGGGCAAGACAGAACTATGCAAGTATTGAAAACCCTACACAATGTTACAAGACAACCTTAGTCCATGGCTGCAGACAGAATAGAAAATACTTTCTTTAATCGTGATGATGAAAATCAAAGTATTTTGCAAAAGCTCAAAGCCGCATGACCAGCACCAGGTTCCACTTTCGTGGCCCTTCTCTCTTTCCTGTTCTCCCTTCTGTCCCCAACACCCACTCTCACAAAGCCCTCCGTCACATTCTCCTTTCTCCATGTTGCTATTTCCCAGTAACAGAATGATGGATAAATTACATTTCCAGATAATCATTAGCTGCTAACTTGCTTTACACATGCTACTGTGCTAGATGATGTAATAAGAGAGATGTGCTTGGTTATTACTTGTCCTTATTGTAATGAACATCATTTACTGTAAGGAATCTAGCAATTAGTGAAATAAGGTAGCTGAAGTTCCTTCAGTAATCAGCAAATGAAAATCATTTGCTACTCTGTGCATACTAGAGGTTTTAAAAAGTATTTTTCAAATTTGAACACCAGATGGCAGGCTCAGCACATTTTTCCACATTAGAAATTAGCTAGCTAAAGAATTCTTCCTGAACTAGAATGTCATTCACTGATTCAGAATAAAAGCTTTTCATTGTCTTTGCAAATTTTAATCTACATTATCTTTTCCCCCCAGAATTTATTATGCTGTCCTATTAAAATTTTCTTGATTATTAAGCTATTTCTTTCTTTTTATTGAATCGATTCATCTACTCCTTCATGTAAAGGGTTTTTTGTTCTTGTTTGTTTGTACTGCTTTCTCTCATGGAAACCCTAACACTCATCTCTGATGAGAGGGTCTCATCAGATAGCCTTACTCAGATTGCTCTGAGAAAAATATAGCAATCAGGTGGTCTTCCTTTGCTTCCTGCCCTTGGTTCACTCCAGTATCTCTGTAACTCCTCTTTTCCATCATAGAAGTAGCTTTTTTTTGTCCATCTAAATTGACTGTTTAAGGATGCTGTTCACCATGGTATAACCTTTTAATGTTTTGTTCTTCTTTTAATTAATTTTCAGTTTTCATGCATGTTCATCAAATAATTATTACTATGAGTAACATGTATGAAGGGACTGATGTTTTTGCTTCAAGTGATGTTTTCTTTGTATGTAATCCCATAGTTGTATTGGAAAACCACAGTAGTAGACATATACAGATGAGCTCTCATCATTTTCCTGTTCTTCTGCACAGTACCATATGACCCAGCTATCCAAGTCCTTGGCACATGCCTAAAGCACTTGACATCTTTTTATACAGATGCTTTTCCAGGCATGTTTGTTGATGCTCTCTATTCACAACAGCTGGCTGTGTGCCATTACATGCTGCTCCCTGGACAGTGGGCTGGACAGTGGGCTGGAGTCTTAAGCTATTTCTTAATATTTTAGTACATAAATAATGATTTTAGTGAAAATTTAGGATCTAGTATTAATTATCAATTTGTGTGTTAGTAAATATTTCATAGTAGTAGTCTGAAATATTAAATGCAATTAAAACATAGCTTTCAGCTGGACCTGAAATGTCTCCCAAAGACTCATGTGGCTAAAGGTTTGGTTCTTAGCTCATGGAGTCACTGGGAGGTGGCAGAACCTTTAAGAGACAGAATCTAGCAAGAAGTCAGGTCACTGATGTATGCCTTCAGAACCAACTGTGGGACCCATTTCTCTTCTTCGGTTTTACAGCCAGGCATAAGGTTATGGGCCTTATCTGTTGTGTGTCACGCCATTATGGGCTGCACCAGGCCCAGAGCAGTGGGGTCACGAGGTCATGAACTAGATACTCTAAAACTGCCAGCCCTGAATGGACGTTTCTTCTTTTTAGGTTGATTTAGCCCAGGTGTTCGTTACAGTAAAGGAGAGAGAGTTAACTTAAGCATCTAAAAGAGTCTACCAGTGTTAGTCTTCAACACTAACATTATTACCATCTTGATCACTCTTACAACGTGTCCAAAATTATATTCTTTGGTATTTAATTATGAGGCTACACAAAAACCTGTACAGAGATAACTATAGCAGCCATATTCATAACAGGCAAAATTTGGATGAGAACAATGAGTCTTTTAATAGGCGAATGAATAAACTGTGGTTCCTCCACAAAATTCAGTAAAAATAATATTTTTATTGAGCACTAAAACGTGAAGGAATTTTTAAATGCAAAGTCAAAGAAGTCAGTCTGAAGAAGTTGAATATTATGTGATTCCAACTATGTAATGATTTGGAAAATGAAGAGCTATACACAGTAAAATGATCAGTGAAGCTCAGACATCCAGAGGGATCAATGGAGGGGAGGGTGTATACGCAGAACACTGGGACTCTTTTAGGGCAGTGAAACTAGTATCTGGTTTGATACTGTAGTGATAAATGCATGCCATTATGCATTTATCAAGACCCATAGAATGAATAACACAAGAAATGAGCACTAAGTAAACTTTGCATTTTAACTACATATCTATCAATTCAATTTTGCCTCAGGAGTTGTAACAAATGCAAGGTGTTGGTGACAGGGAAACTGGAAGAACCAAAGAATATATGGGGATTTTCCATACTTTCAATCATTTTTCTCTGTGTATTTTAAAATTTCCAAAGTGTGTACCAATTAACAAATTCAAAATCATTTCTGTTATGATTTCGACAGTGTCACACACTTAGAAAAGCTTTTCCATAATAAACACAAGTACTTTAAAAAGTTTTTTTGTGTTTATCTTTTTGACATTTAATAAAATTTTAGATGTACAGAAAAATTGAAAATATTTTCTATATGATTTATTTCTGATATATAATTTCTGATTATGTATAATCATTAATATACAATAGTATATATATGTGTGTATATATATATACACACATATATATTACACACATATATATAGCCAGTTACCCCTATTATTAATACTCTACATATTAGTATGGTATATCTATCACAATCTATGAACCAATATTGATGTTATTTGCTAAAATTCATGCTTTATTTACATTTCCATGGTTACTTCTTTTACTTGTCCTGGGAGGCTCTCTACCATACCACTGCATACTTATTTGCCATGTTGTCTTAGGCGTCTCTGCTCTGACAGTTTTGTTTCTTTGGTTTTGATGACCTTGACCATCTTTGAAATATTGGTCATGTATTTTGTCATGTCCTGTGGGAACTTGCATGATGTTTATTTATTGGGGAAAATTATAAAGGCCACTCCACGTAGTTAAAAGGAAGATTTATTTAGTGGATGACTTACAAATGAAGGAATGGATAGGTCGCGGGGGTCTGGGGAAGGCGTATAGCAATCTCTGGAGCTCTGCACAATCAATCTCCACCATCCAGGGTCCAGGCGCAGAGAGCGCGCCCAGAGCGAGCGCTTGCCCATCCAGCTGTCAGGTTTCCAGCACCTCCCCTCGCCCCGCCTCGTAGGCGTGACAGTTGCCAGAGTCTCAATGGGGGTTGGAGCTTCCAGATCCAAGCTGGAATGGCTACCCACTACATTTATTTCTTGATTAGATTGGTTGTAGAAATGGTAAGTTTACAAAGGTTTACATCATTTTCATCATATCATATCATATCATATCATATCATATCATATCATATCATATCAAAGGAACCTACGGTTAATATGATATTATTTCTGATGTCTCTGATCATGTGGCAGAGGTAGCATTTGCCAGGGTCAAGGTTCAGCACCATGTAATTATAAACTACACCTTGTGATACTGTGTGCTTCCCTACAGTAAAGGAATTACTGTACCACACTTAACCACTGGAGTCAAGCTCCACCTAGCTAGAACAAATTATCTACATCAGCCACTTGGAATTCTGCCACTCGGGAGATCTGTTTCTTCTTCCTTTGTTATTTATTTATAAAAGTGGATTAAGGGTATTTGCTTAGCATTATGGGTATAATTCAACACTGTTCTTTTTGTTGCTGAAATCATTCCAACTTTGCTCATCGAGAGCTCTTTCAGTTGGTTTCTGAGTTGTTTTTGACAAATTCCATCATTATGGGTTTATTTTTTTCTTTTGTTTCACTTTTTAAAAATATGTTTTAAGATGAGAAAGGCTCTCTCTTTCTATCCCCAGCTGGATTGAACTTATAACCCTCCTCCTTAAGCCTCCTGAGTGCTGGAATTCTGTAATGTAACACCACACCTGGCTATTTTTTTCTGTTTTGAGTGTTGTCTTTCTTGTGGCACAACAAGATACTTCAGTCTTACAGTATAAATTTAATCCTAATCCTACACTCACCCAGTTCTTTTTATTAGAGAAAAGTAAGATTCTTCTTTTTATTAGAAGTTAATATCTTGGCACTGGATCATTGCTACTTAGGGCCTCTCAGACACAGCATGAAAATATATGTGCTCAATGGTCATCTCTGAAATATATATACAAGTAACATTATACAGACTGGGCAGGTTGTATTTGGGAATATATATATATATATACACATATACATATATTCATGTAACAACAATTAATAAAAAAAAGGCCATGCATTTGAAAGAAAGAGGGATATGGGGAGGGCTTGGAGGAAGAAAAGGGAAGGGGTAAATGACATTATCATAATCTCAAAAAAAATAAAAGAAGTAATAAAAATAAAAAACCCAAAAGGAAAATATATGTGCATAGCTTCATTTAAAAAATGTTCCCACATTTTACTGCTTTGTGTGTGTACATTCATGTGTTCAGGGAGTGTGACGTGTTAAGTCAGAGGACATTTTGTGGAGTTCATGTTCTTTTGCCTGTGCGGATCCTGTGGCTCAAACTAGGGCACTGGACTTGGCTACAGGTGCCTTTACCCACTGAGCCACCTTGTCTGCTCACAGCTTCACCTTCAACTCTTAAAACTGGTGACCCATCTTACATTTATGTAGTAGGAACTCAAGTTTTGCCCCACATGGTTTTATAGACCTGCACTGAGCCTTCAGTTTGCCATTGGTTTCTTGGGTAGTGTCTGGTAGAAGACTTAACTTCCTTCATTGTAGTTTTTGTATATTTTGGAGGAGTACTAAAAAAGAGTTCAATGAGACAACAGTCTGCAAAGGTCTATGTGCACTTAAGGTAGGCGACAAGCACAGAGTACAACGTCAGCCCCTGTCGTCGTGAGCACCCTCATTAGACTAAGACTGCTTTAGGCAGTGAAGGACCGACCTTCTTTTATCGTGGCCTCTTTTGTTTGCATTATCTTTAACAAACTATTAGTCTTCTCCAGCTGGATATCCAGACGGTTGTTCTTTCCAGTGGTTTCTATCATTTTCTGCAGAAGAAATTGGGACCATGTTATCACAACATCAAGGACACTATTTTGGTTCTTTTGTTAAGAATATGAAGACAAATGAGAACAAAAACCATTTGACATGTGAGTCTAATAACTGAATTTGGGATATAATTTCAAACAAACTACAGTGTACGGAGCCTTTGATTTTTCCCTTTCTTACACATGTAGCCTCTGATAGAGGACAACTTCGTTCACTCTAGGTTTTCATGTAGTTGAAACTACACTGAGAAGAGTCCAGTGAGGCAACAGTCTGAAAAGTCCTATGGGCACTTGCAGTAGGTGACACATGCAGGGCCCAATGGCAGTCACTGCAGTGAGCACACAAACAAGGAGAAACTATGACCTGTGAGCACCTTTCTTTCAATTATTCAACCTTTAGTTCCATGTTCACCCCAGGCATCTATCAAGCATAATGGTAGATGCCTATAGTCAGCTTCTTTGGAGGCTGATGTCGGAGGTGTATGTCCTGAGCTCAGGAGTTCATATCCATCCTGGACACTCCGGTATGGTTTTGTCTTAAAACTTTTGCTTCCAGACAACTCTATGATGACATGATTATGCTATTTAGTCTGTTCTGCACTTAGCTGCTCCACTTAGCACTATTATCTGGGAGACAATATCACAATCACAAATCTACTGCGTTCTTTTTACAGCTATTCTGAGTCTTAGTTTTGAAGATGCTATTAGGGAAGATTTTGTTGTTTATAATTTTTCTATTATAGACAATAAAGAAGCATTTTGAACACGTCTCCTTGGTATCTTTGTAAACAGTACAATAAGCTTCCTTGTACTCTTCAAGTGTATCAATTCATCATCAAGCTTGTGTTTTTTGCACCTCCATCCACTTCCCCACCTTTTTCTTAAGCAGCTCACGTTGTATTACTTCATCTGTATTGCCATTTAGGTATCTCTTATGTATCTTTCTAAGAGGTAAAATTCTAAATATCAGAATACCATATCCAATTTAAAAATGGACAATTATTTTTATTTACCATACTTGAGAATCTGATAATGTATTTTCAAATTAATGTTCAAGCATATGGCACTGATTCCTTTTTCACAAGAGTACTTATTTCTTTTCCATGCTGGACTAAGAAAATCCAAGTTTTAGGCAAAGAGAAGGAAAAGAGAATAGGTAGAATGGGGAAAACTAAATACATGTATGTCCTATATTATAATTAGTCATCATGGTAGAAGACAAAACATGAACCTACTTTACTTTTCATTAAAACTACTTTGGAGTTTGTGGGCATTCTGGCATTCTCTTAACTTTAGCAAAAATATATCAATTGTTTGTTTCCTTGCCCTAGGAACATTTTTACATATTAGTACAAATAAGTTAAAATGACAATGGGCATTATGGAAGAGGAGGTAGAAAGAATGTAAGAGCCAGAGGCTGGGAAGAGTGTTGTGAAATGCTGTCTCCTGGACAGGACCTGGCTGTTGTAGTTATGACTCATAGAAGCTGTGGCCTGTGCAAGACCAAGCCAGTCAACATTCCAGTATGAGTGGGAAAGGGCCCAGGAGCCCCTACCTCTAGCTGACATGCTCCTCGAAACTGATCAGTGGTATAAGGGGTGATTGGTGTGGCTGTGTGTGGCTGCTGGTAGGTGGACCATATTCTGGTGGGTGCGTCACATCCGTATGCATGCAGGAAACACTAACCAGACTTAGTGAGTTATTGAAGAAGAATAATGAGGAGGGGGGAGGAGGAAGAAGAGGATGAAGAAGAAATAAGAGAAGGAGGAGGAGAAGAAAATGATGATGATAAGGTAGGAAGGGGAAGTAGTGTGTGTGTGTGTGTGTGTGTGTGTGTATGTGTGTGTGTTCTATGGTATACATGTGAGTGATTTGGGTTGGATATGATTGAGAAACCTTGTATACATGTATGAAATTATTGAAGAACAAATAAAATATTAAAGTTTTAAATACAAGAAAGGATTTAGCAAAATACATTTTCATTATTCTAATCTGGCTCATCTTTTAAAAATTAAAAAGTATGTTTATTCAACAACAATGACACACTGTACTATAATAACATACAATGAAAAAAACTAAGTTTATTGGTGTTTTCAAATTCCTGGCATGCTATTCTTTGGAATTTGGGGACAATAAGTCAGCATTCCCATGAATTTTCAGTCTTTACTCTTTTTTCCCCTTTGAGACATGGTTTCCTTGTGTAGCCCTGCCTGTCCTGGAATTTGCTTTGTAGACCAGGCTATCCTTGAACTCTGAGATCCATTGCCTCTGCCTCTGGAGTGCTGGGATTAATGATGTGCACCACTATGACTGGCCACACATTTATTATTTAGCTAACATAGCTAAAATTCATGTTTAAAGATTAAAATACACACTGGCCGGGTGGTGGTGGCGCACGCCTTTAATCCCAGGACTCGGGAGGCAGAGGCAGGCGGATCTCTGTGAGTTCGAGGCCAGCCTGGGCTACCAAGTGAGTTCCAGGAAAGGCGCAAAGCTACACAGAGAAACTCTGTCTCGAAAAACAAAAACAAACAAACAAACAAACAAAAAAATACACCAAGTTAAGTAGTACTTAGAAAGAAATACAGCCTACAAAAATAGTCAAACAATGAAAAATGTAACTTAAAATCTGGCTCTCCCAGTAAGGAAGTAGCCCCTCATGGATCAAGTGTAGACACTGCCCATTATATTTTTAAAATTAAAACTTTGTTTATTTTTATGTGTGAGTGTTTTGACTGCATCTAAGCACACCATGAGTGTATAGTGCCCTCACGTGTCATAGGAGGGTGTTGCATTTTCCAGAATTAGAGTTACAGACAGTTGTGAGCTGCCAAGTTGGAGCTGGGAACTGAACACTGGTCTGTAAGAGCAGCCAGTGTTCCTAACCACTGAGCAGTCTCTCCAGCCCTGGCTCCTTTGTTTTGATGAATTTTCCTTTCTTCCCAGTTTCTCTCCTTGACAACAATCTTTTGTGTTTTTCTCCAGTCGTTTGCTATGTGTCTTTACACACCTTTTCTATCTGCGAGAAGTCGTCTATCAGTTTGTCAAGATTCACATTGCTAATCTTCTTCATACTGCCTTCGTTGCTTTGATCCATGCCTGAAATAGTGAAGAGCAGACAATATTAAGGAAGACCCAGTACATCACAACATTGGTCATAATTCAAACATGAAAGTAATTGTCCCCTGAGCTCCATTTTACTTGGAGAACTTTTGTTATACTCAGTATTAGCAGCAGCCAAATATATCCTTTTCTCTACTCATCCACCTCTGCCAAATGTTCTCTAAACATATCTAAATTTTGTATGGTTACATATACATGTATAGAAATTATTTGTCTTTAATATTTAATACAATCTAATAATGCCACCACCACCATCTGACACTCATCTCTTTGCCTATCAGTCTGGCTGGACTTAAAATATGATATATTATCCAATCTGAGGCATGACTTCAAAGGTAAGAATTCTCACTTAATATGCTAAATATGCTTTTTAAAATGTTATGCCACAGATATTTGTTAGCTTGTTTATGCCTCATATTTTGTCTGGCAGCATGTTGAGTAAATAAATGATATATAGGAAGTAATGTACTCACAAAAATGTTTCTGTATTTATATCTTTTCCATTTTTTGGATATGATTAAGTTTTAGTAACTGCTAACAACTGAAATAAAGACAAAGTTTCAGTTTTAACCCTATGGAACCATTAATAACAAATGCTTCAGAATCTCACAGGTGAACTCATCCACACAAGATGGAGAAACTGAATGTAGGCAGCATTTAAACGTAGGAATGGGAAGGTGACTTAATAGAATCAAGATTAATACAATATCAAAGTATGAAATACTTGTCAGTAGACTTTTCTCAAGTAAAAAAGGGGTTGAAATGCAAATTTGAAAATCAGGTATTCTAGATCTGGGAAAACACCACAAGCCAATGTATTGGACAATAAATAAAATTCCTGAAGCAGTTACTAAAAATAATTTTTGGTGGTCATATTGTTGTTAAACTGGACATTGCCTGATGTTACTCCATCAAGAAATACCACTTTCTTCTTTTTCATATTACTTGATAGTAGCAGATTGTAATGGTTTTGAAATCTGAATTTTGGTTATTGACTTTCAGTTTAGTGAAATACTATCAATTATGTATCACATATGAATAAAATTATATTTAAATTCCTTAGTAAAAACTTGATCATTGTGGTAAAAATAGATATAACAGACGCCCCCCATGATAAACAGTTAAATTATTTGTTGAACAAAGTTTAAAAAATCACTAGTTGACATTGCAACTTAAATACTAGAGAATATCTAAAGTATTTAAAAACCTTTCCCTAACTTTATTTTTTTTGTAGTCCCTAATGTTTTAAATAATTTTTAAAAACTTGTTCTGCCTCAGAACTAGATTCCTGAACTAAATGCATTTTAATTAATTTAATTAATTAAGCCTAGATTGTCTCCATTTTTCTTTTCTTCATTGAACACATATAACTTATCAATATGACTGAGGATGTTGCTCAGTGGAAATGCATTTGCTTGACAAGCTTATGTGTGTAAGTGGTAGGGGGCAGTGAGTGAAGAACTGGGTCGAAGTCCCCATCACGGGACAAACAAAACTTAATATTAATATTCTATTTACTACTTCCTGCCTCTGTCACATTCATTTCTAGATTTTTTTTTTTTTTCAAGACAGGGCTTCTCTGTGTAGCCCTGGCTGTCCTGGAACTCACTAGTAAGCCAGGCTGGCGTCGAACTCGGCCTCCTGCCTCGGCTTCCTGAGTGCGGGGATTAAAGGTGTGCACCACTACTGGACTTAAAACATGATATACTTTACTAGATGTCTTAATTGCCCTCTTCCCCCAGTTTCCTCGGTCCAGATTCTTCCCACAAATGTGGTCTTGCCCAGTGGAACGTTGTGAGTCAGCGATTCAGTGCTGGTGACTTCTCTACAGAGCAGACACTGATTTCTGACTTCCGAGGCTCAGCCTCCCCCAAGTCCACAGGCTAGCAATAGACCCGTTTCCTTCTGTGGCTTCAAGCCTGTTGACTTGTGTCCCAGGGCTTGCCTTCTCCCCAGCCCCGCCAGTCCTTGCCGGTGCCAGGGGCGGGGCAGGGCTCAGGGTGGCTTCTTCTTCTTCCTTCTGAACTCTCCAAGAACTCCTCTCAGAGCCCGTGGCTCAGGCCCGCCATGGCACCCCAGGGTCCTCAGGGCTGAGCAGACACGCAGGGGTGCGGGCGAGGGCCACGGGTCAGAGAGGCGGGTGGGACACAACTGGAAGAATCCAGGACACTTCGAAGAGGTGTAAGGAAAAGAATCTCTGGAAATTGGAGTTCGAATCTCCCAGGAAGACCTTGGAACCTACCTGCCACCACCGCGACACTTCCAGTCTCCCGCCAGCTCCTCTGGGCAACGTGGCCGGTCCGCTCCAGATTGCTGTCCTCTTCCGGGTGGGAAGCGGGTTCCCTCAACTAGGGGTCCGTGCCGTTCTCCTGGCCTGTCCGTGCCGTTCGTTCTCCTGTCCTGTCCGTGCCCGATCTTGGAGCCCCTGACACAGGGCGTTCTAGCTCCCTTCACCATTTACTGCCTCCTAGATGCTTTCACGTGTTTCTTAGACCATGGACCAACATTCAGCGACTGTCAGATTAATTACTGTTTTGCTTGAGAGACCCCCACCCCAGTTCCCCCTAAGGCCCGGAGAGCTGAGGAAAGGGACATCTTAAAATAGCCAGAACCAAGTCAGTTCCCCTTCCCAGACAGGGTGAAGTCAGAAGTTTTAAAAGTACAAAATCAGACTGTCTGGTGGTAGCTAACCACGAGACGCCCCCCTGCCCTGAGATAATATGACCAAATTTTGGAGAGGGGCTGTAAAACTCCTGACAGAGCAAAAAATAAGATAAAAGTTCAAACTCAGGAAAACTGGACCAATCAAGGGTGGACCCATACTAACCCCCTCCTCTCTGAAGAATTCTGTGGTTTTTGCCTTCAAAAGCTAATCTCCACAGGAAAGAGGAACTCTCCTCCCTGCCTCGCTGCGCCGGGCACTGAGGACGAGGGTTCCTTGCTAGCTCGTATTGCGCCAACAAGTAAACCTTGCTATTGCATTCTGGACATATCTGGTCTCCTGGTGGTCTCTTTGGGGGTCCTTATCTGGGTATAACATGCTAAGTCATCAATAAACCACACCTATGCTTGGTTTCTATAACTCAGCACAATTAAATAAATAATAACCCACACTCATTCCTGTGATTCTATTACAGGCCTTTCAAAGTACCAGATTCAGTTAATAGATACAGTTTCCTATCTAGTGTTTTGTTTTACTGGTTTATAGATTCAGGGCATGGACTCTTAGGTAGTTTAAACCTCAACTCTTTAGGTGTCTTGGGTAAGTTCTTTTTATTTTATTTTATTTTTTTGTATGTCTCAGCTTTTTATTTATATAGTATGATTTAAAAAAGTTTCTACCCATGAAGGTTGTTGTACCAATTAATGAATTCATGCACTTAAAAGATGATTGGGTTTCTTGCTTCAAGTGTTTAAAAATTATTATAATTTCCAATGTTGTTCAATAGCAATTGAAAATGTATCAGCTGCAAAGTTTTTTAATGAGAAATACAAGGTTTACTTTCATTAATTTAATTTTTCTATAGGATTAAAATTTTGTCAAGCAGAGACATGTAAATGGTAATAGGATTATTCATACTTCATTATTTGAATGGTGGTATGGCAGATAGTGAGAAATGGATCCAAGTGGAGAATGTGTGCCCCACCACTCCAAGTGGTAAGGTTTCCTTAACATCAGTACCAACACATAGGGATATTAAAAATAAATGGCTATTGGGAATCTTGGTTGTTTATCAGGGATATTGGTCTGCACTTTTCTTTCTTATATTGTGTCTTTACTTGGTTTAGGTATTAGAGAAATACTGGGGTCATAAAAGGAGTTTGGAAGTGCTCTGCCTATTTTTTCTTCTTTTCTGAATAATTTATGAAGCATTGGTTGTAGATCCTTTTTGGAAGCCTGATAGCATTCGGCTGTGATTCTTTTTTTTTTTTGCTTTTTTTTTTTTTTTTTTTTTTTTTTTCAGTCAGAAGACTTGATTACTCTCTCAATCTCCTTGTTTGTTAAAGGCTTGTTTAAGTTGTTGATCTCTTCTTGGTTTAAATTTGATGATTCATTTCGATCTAGAAATGTGTCTGTTTCTTTTTAGATTTTCTAACTTAATAGAGTACAGGTCTTTAAAGTACTCCTTTATAATATTCTGAATTTCTTTGGTGCACTCATGTCTGATTCTGGTGATTTGAATCTTCTCTTTCTTTCTTTGGTTAATGGGGCTAAAGGTCTATCGATCTTGTCTAACTTCTCAAGGAGCCAGCTCTAACATTCATTGATTCTTTGTCTTATTTTCTTTGTTTCTATTTCATCTATTTCTGCTCTGATTCTTATTCTTTTTTTCCACCTATATAATTTGTATTTGATTTGTTCTTATTTTTCCAATTTCTTGAATTGCACCATCAAGTTATTTTTTGTGCTCTTTCTGATTTTTTTTACTGTAGACATGTAGAGCTTTGCTTAAAACATTCAAAGATGATAATTTTCAGTGTTGTCCAGTAGTAGTTGAAAGTGTGTCTGCTGCCAAGTTATTATTTTTTGAGTGAGAGACACAAGATTTACTTTCATTCATTTGATTTTAAAAATAGAATCTTTAGATATAAGCATACAACCTTGAGTAACCACAGATACCAGGGAAGCATAAAGGGACCCTAAGAGAATGTGGGGGAGGAGTTTTATAGAGAGAGATAGTAGGACATGAGTGCCATGAAGGGCAAATGAGAAAATTGAGGGGAGGGGGACACTCTAACTGGGAAGTAAGGAGGATGTTATTACAGAGGAAGGACTAAATAATATTAAAGATGTTTGAAAAAGCTATAAGAAAACATTATTTTACGTTTACTTAAAATTACATATATAGTATACACAGATGTATGTACATATAAATTTGTGTATAAATTATATATATATATATAAATACATACATAAATATATAGTAAACAGATTTGTACAATTTGGGGTGATACTGTTCCCCACAAGAGACATAGACTAACAAAATCCCCAGTGTCAGACATAGGAAACATCTTTTCCAGTTGTGGGTTGGGGGAGTCCAAGACTCTCCCCAAATATAGGCTATTGCCAATGCCCTGGGTTGCCCAGAACTTGAAGGTAAGGCTCTAGTATCTGAAGATACTAGGAGTTGAAGGAATTAAGCTGGCATCCACCTGTAAACCTCCTCTCTGAGAACCATCTCTCATAGTATCTGAAAGTGTTACACAAGCTGCTAAGGAAGAGGAGTAATCAACAGCTCTACCCAGCTGTAAAGCCTCGAAACCATGAAAATGACCAGGCAGATAAGGCACCACCTATGGTGCCTACTGGGGTAACAACTGTCTAATTGGACTTGCTCAAGAGGAGGGAATTCACACTTGGTACAGTAAACCTACCCAAGTACCCATGGCTGGGGAGAGAATGGATCCTAGAGGAGAACCTATTAGTGCCACTTTCCCTTCTTTCTTTCTCTTTTCTTTATTTTTAAAATCTATCTATCTATCTATCTATCTATCTATCTATCTATCTATCTATCTATCTATCTATCTATCTATTTATTTTGAGTGAAGGTTTCTCTGTGTAGTAACAGTCCTGGCTGTCCTGGGACTTGCTTTGTAGACCAGACTGGCCTGGAACTCACAAAGATCCACCCGCCTCTGCCTCCTAAACCAGCATAATTCTTAACTGCATTCTAAACAGAGAAGTGTAGCCTTTACTCCTCATAAAAGAAGCTTCTTTTTGAAGCAAATGGCGACTATTACAGAGACCTGTAACTGCTCAAAATGCAGAGAACAACAGGCAGTGGTGTGCTCAGTCCTAATTGGTACATCTACAACACAGCCCCTCTGGTTAAGTTTCAGAAAATATTGAGGAAAAGGCAGCAACAAATCTGTAAGACCCAGAGGACCAGGGTGTCTGCTGGGAGACAGTGTCTTCTTGTATATGACCAGGAGGCTGCACCCACGAAATCTCAATGGTACAGTCACCTAAACAGACCTGCATAATGACAAAGCCAGGTGCCACATCAGTGCAGATGGAGAAAATCTCACAAGGCCCCACTTCTAGATGAAGAGCTACAGGTAGTTAATGGCTACCGAGAGAGGGAGAATTAATCTTCTCCAGGGAGGAGCTCCCTAATAGAAGATCTATTCATAAATGGCCAGCCCTAAACATAGATACAGCCAGGCAACACCAAGTGGACTCAGCAGGTTGTAGGTGTGTGTGTGTGTGTGTGTGTGTGTGTGTGTGTGTGTGTGTGTGTGTGTATTCCTTTCTGTTCAGATTCATGGAGGAACTTTCTGTGCTGTGAGGAATGTTCTACACCCTATTCAATTAGAATATAGAGTGTGTATGTGTGTGTGTGTGTGTGTGTGCATACTATATATATGTAATGATAATTATTAAAGAAGAGATCAATAGTAAGGCATAGAAGGAGTTGGAGGGGGAGAGGGAAGGTAGAAATGGTGTAAATACAGTATTTGTATATGCAAGTCTCAAAAAATGAATTGGCTACTAAAATTGCTGGTTGTGTCAAGTTAGCATACGCAAAACATTCTATATGAGGAATGTCATGATAACTTTTGAAACCAGCCCATTTTGAGGCCCATCTAAAAGGCTCCCTTCTCCATAAGTCTTTTGCAGATCTCTATTAGAAATGTCTTACCTTTCTTTGTTCTATGGAACATGCCAGTCTTTTGGGGGCATTTCTGGGACTCTAAATTGATACATTCTCTCTTCTACTGTATTTGCTATTGTCTCCTTGGGGGAAGAAAGATTATTTTCTTTATACATGTGTGTTTTTCTTCATGGTGCACTACACGGGAAGAACAAAATGGGAACTAGCCGGTATATTATGAAAGGAACAAATAAACCAGGCAGCTTAATTTTTCTAGTTTGGAGCAAGTCACAAGTTTTTCTTTTAGTTTACAGATAGTAACAGTTTTTTCAAAGAACCCTGGTAGATTCAAAATATGTCTGAGAAACTACATGAATGTTCCATGATTTCATCTTTAAAAAGGGAATGATATTTTTACAGTTGTGCCTATGTTTTTTTTTTTGCCCAGACACTATCCAACTGTGAAAACAAAATTTTATGATTGGTTATGAATTCATTACAGATTTATTCAGAAATGGCCCAGAAGACATTAAGGCAGAAATGGATTACAGGGCTACACTATACTAACAAAGTAAAGCTGTAATCCATCAAAACACCTGTGTTGTAGAATATTATTTTAAGGTGTGTTACTTTTGCTTATGTTGCATTTATTTAACTCTGGAAAGCTGTGTAACTGTGCCTGTATAAAACACCTGATGGTCTAATAAAGAACTGAGTAGCCAATAGCGAGGCAGGAGAAAGGATAGATGGGGCTAGCAGACAGAGAGAATTATAGAGGGAGAAATCTGGAAGGAAGAGATCTAGGAGCCAGAGAAGGAGGAAGACTCCAGGGCCAGCCACCCAGCTATACAGCAAGCCGCATAGTAAGAAACAAAAAAAGGTATGCAGGAATAGAAAAGGAAAAGCTCAGAGGCAAAAGATAGATGGGATAAGTT